GACTTGGGGAGGGGGTGTAGGAGGGGGAGGGGAGAAGGGAGGACCCAACAGCCCTGGGACTTGGGAGGTGGATAGGGTGGGGTGGCACTGGAAAAAGAGGACTACGAGATGAGATCTCGATCCTGGAGGCCGGCCCTGTCCCCATCCCTCCCGCACCTTGCCCTCAGGGGGCTTGCAGTCTCCAGCAAGCCCCCGCCCCGACGGGTGGCACAGACAGAATTCACTAAAAGGCTAGGTAGCAAAAGTGCCTCGTGGGGCGGACGTGAGGTCTGCCCAGGCCCCCTGAGGGATTCCCGCTCCCAGACGCGCCCCTCACCCAGGGTGGGGAACCCCTCGCGCCCCGCCCCCAGGGCGCTCCAGCCGTGGAGGAGGCCCGGGATGGGGGCCACGCCCCTCCCTGTTCCCAGCTCGAGGCCTAGCCCGTGCCCATCCCAGCAGGCCCGGGCGGGCAGCGAGAGGCCTGGCGGGGCCCTGGGGCTGCAGCTGGGCTCTTCTGGAGACCAGTAAGGCTGGCTCGGATTCCTCCCCGACCGCAAGAATGCAGGAGCCTCCCCTCCCCCCGCCCTGCACCCCCACCCCGCCCCCTTCGGCAGAGCCCTGGCGGGGAGGCAGAGCGAGCGAGCGAGCGACAGCCAGCGAGGCAGCGAGCGGGAGGCAGACAGGACTGCAGCGTGCTTCTCCAGGCCCCGCGCGCGGACAGATACACGGACAAGTCCCGCCAGGGGCTGGGCGCGCGCCGGCCCGGCAAGAGCTTGGCGAGCCCTGGGTGCTGCCGGCAGGGGCTCAGAGACCCACAGACACCCGAACTCTGACTCACACACACACTCACAACTCACACGTGGACAGGGAGACAAAGACACGCACGGAGCCCAGGAAGCTAGAGACGCGCCAGAGGCCAGGGAAGCGCCGGCCGAAGCGGGAGCCGCGGAGACAGACACCGGGGCTGCCCGAGGGCTGAGTGGGAACACCCGGACTCATTGAACAGATGAAAAGACTGAGGCCGGCCACAAGGGAGCCGAAGAAAGTTGAGCCTGGTAGTCACAAAGAAACACGCACAGGGCCATAGATACAGCAACAGACTTACACAAACACAGAGGCCTCACCCAACCGCCCCCAGCCCTGGCTCCCCCCTCGTCTCCCCTACCCGCCCTCCAGCAGCCGATCCCGGTCAAAGGGGAGGAGTCTTGGGCCCAGGAGCTTCGTCCCGGTGACAGGCCCGGCCAGACACCGGTGCACACTCCTGCTACTCCCTGCGGGGCTGCTGGAGGCTGGGCGGGGACCTCGAGGTGAGGGGTCCCCACCTGCCACGCTGGGAGAGTCTAACCCCAACTTAACCCTAGGGCACATTGCCCTTTGCCACTCCAGCTGTGTCTCTGGGGGAGGAAGGCTCTTGGGGGAAGGTTCCAAAGTCCAGGACTTGCCTGGGAAGCAGCCCGCCACCCTCAGCTTCTCCATCACAACCAGGAAAGAGCAGAGGCAGAGGCTGGAGTCACTGGACACACCAGGGCTCGGAGCCGGCTCCTGGCTGGCATGCCTCTCTGGCTCTCCCTTCACCTACTCGCTGATTCTCAAAAGGATCGACCCCATTTCACAACAAGGAAACTGAGGTCTGGGAAAAGGAAGTGATGTAACCTTGAGTCACATAACCAGTATGTGGCAGTGTGGGGTCCCTCATTCCAGACACTGCAGTGACCCACCTCGCCACCCCAGCCATGACTGTTCCTCTGAACCTGCATCAGTTAGGTAGGCTTCCCACATTCCGGCCACAGCGCCCAGGCCCCCCGTAAGCGGGCAGGGGCAGGGCAAGGGCCACTCACTACCTCTTCTGTTCACAGCCTCAAAAATTGAGGACCTGTAAGAATTTGGGAAGGGGCTATTAAAAATCCTCTCTAGTGGCCATTCAGGCCTAGGCTCCTCCCCAGAAGACTCTCCCAGTCACCCTCCTCTCCGGGACTCCACCCCCTCTCTCCCACCCCGCCGCAGGGCGAGCTGAGTCAAGCGTGGATGAGTCAGGACTTTCCCATCTCACACCTCCCCCCTTTGCCCCTCAGAAGTCTGACCCAGCTCCCAAAGACCCCTCCTCCTTCACACACTCACAGTCTCGGAGGAAGATACCTGGAAGGCCTGGTGACAGGAAGCAAAACAGCTGATCCCAGCCAGTGCAGTTTTAAAGTACCCAGTGAAGGGGGCTTCCTAGTACCAGGCCAGGAGCCCCTGGGGTGGGAGAAAGCAAAGGGATGGGGCTCTGGGAACACAACGCCTTGCCTCCCTCTTAGGGGGTAAGGTGGGGAGGAGCAGCGAGCTCACAAACAGGGAGCAGGTGCGAGTCACCTGAGTGGAAGGCCAGGCACATACCAGGAGAGTGAATGCGCCCCGAGGAGAGGAGGCGGCTTGACAAAGGGCCTGAGATATCCATCCGTTCCCCCACCTGCCACCCCCATCCCCTCCCCTAGTAACACGAGGGTAGGGGCTGGCAGCCTAAGGGTTGCTAAGGGTTAAAGTGGACCTGATCCTGCCTGGGGATGGAGCTGAGGAAGGCCCAGATGCCCAGAGCCTCCAGGTGTGACACACCGACTCTGCTCCACACAGCTACCACAGGTATGGCAGGCGTTCACACATCCAGTGGCAACCTGTCTGCTTCCAGCTGCCCCCACATTGGGAGCCTCTGCTTGGCTCACCAGCTGGCCCACCAGTCTGACTGGCTTGCTCAAAAACACCCCAAAGAGACAGTAAGAAAATGTTTTGGAGGGTCTATGACCCTGTGCTACCAGGGGCCCCTGTGATGAGAGGGCTCAGGGCCCTGCTGGGGGCAAATGAGATACTTGGATTCTGGCTCAGGGAGATACAGTGCCTGAGACGACAGGGTCCCAAATCCCCTTCCTCCTGGGTGTCAGGACCCCTTGGTCCTCAGAAGCTCTCTCCAGCACTCAGGTCACTTCCTTTTCCTGAGGTGGTGACTCAGTGGGTGGGGAGGTCAAGGATTCTTAGCCCAGCAGGAAATCTGCTCAAGGACCAAGGTGCTGCTCTGGGACCCTCGGTGTGGGGACTTCCAGGCTCAGGGGGCCTTCCCATGGCCCTGCTTCCTAGTAGCTCTCCCCACTTCCCCCCACCCTGTGCCAAAGGAGACCATGCATATCAGCCATTTTTGCTTGGGAGATTTTCCCTGGGAGTTTCCAGCCCCACCCCACCTGCAGCCCCAGGGTAATGTCACACAACCCCAGCTCCACAGGGCCATGGAAACTGCTGGTCCCAGATCTTTCTAGTCTGGGATCTTTGAACAGGGTACTGGGGGGCAATTGGCAGTTTTGCCCATTCTGGCCCACTGTCCCTTCTGGAGCCTGCAGGGACAAGTGGCATTGCTTGGACAGGCCTGCTTCTCTTGGCTCCTACAGTCATTGTCAATGTGTCTGGGCCTCGGGAAGCAATCATGGCCTGGCACTGGGGTGCCCCCAAAGACGGCTACCCAATCCCCAGCTGCTCCCTCCCACAGGGGGAGGGGTGGAGAGGGGGTGGGGGGCACAAGGAAACAAGACAGGGCAGGAAGCCCAGGCAGGCGGCGGGCACTCTGGGCCAGGCACAAACAACCAACACAGGAAACCACAGCCCACCCCCGCCCACCCCACCCGCCCAAGGCTCTGGGAGAGAGGAGTGCCAAAAGCCTGGTACCCCAACAGAGGCAAGGACCAGGGGTTAGCCCAGGGCGAGGGAGGAGCAAGAAGCTCTCCAGTCCCTTCTCTGCCCCAGACCCTACCTGGGGAGGGGGAGAGGAAGCCAGGCTGGCAGGGATGGTGCTGCCTCTTTAAATCCACCGAAATCCTGAGCTAGGCCCAACCTAGCTCTGGTTTCACAGGAAGGAAAGGAGCTCAGAAGCCAGTAGGGCAGGCAGTGGTGGCTGGAATTAGCCCCACTGGCCCAAATATATCTGGTCTCTGCCCTCCACCCCACTGGTACTTCCTGTCCCCTGGCACCTGCACCAGGGTAGGGGTGGGAGATGGTCCAGGTGCCACTCTCTACCCAGTGAAGACTCCCATCTCAGGAGGTGGCCTGGTGCTGGGTTCACATGGGTAGAAGGTAACTTCCCAAGCCTGGGTTCCCAGAACAGGCAGAGATGGGCAAAGCAGCTCCCTGTGGGCCCTCACCTGGCCTCAGTCCTCCAAGGGGTTAATCTGGCCCCTATTTAAGGGGGTAGGGGTGGCCGAGGAACCTCCTCCAAACTGCCGGGCTGCTGGGAACAATGGGGCCATTGTGGGAGGAGTGGAGTGCAGCAGACTGCTGGCACAGCCAAGTGCACCACGGTGGGACCTCACCCAGTGCCCGTCCGCCTGCCCGCCCGCTCTCCTCTCTCCCCAGGTATGACCAGAGGCAGAGGCCTCGTCCTAGCCCCTCACCTCGCCTGCTGGCCCACACTCTTGGCACTAACAGCACCTGGGGGCCCCATGGGCTCTGCCCACATTAACATCCAGACTGCCATGACCCTCCAGGATGCAGGGGCACGTGGGCCAGGCTGGGAGGGGTGGGGGTGATGAGACAGGATGTATGCCTGTGATCCTCTGCAGGGGAGACAGGAAGGCCACATGGGGTTTCTGGTGTCAGTTCTGGCACCCTCAAGCAAGAAGGGCTTAGGGGATTGTGACAGCAGTGACAGGCAGGGTCCCCTGTCTCCAGGCCTCCTCTCCCACACCCATTCAGTAAAGCTGCTTCCAAAGGAGGTCTGGTGCCTGGTGGCCTTGCCTTCTCAGGTTGGGGCCCTGGCAGGCATTATGATGCAGTGGAATAAGAAACTGAGTTTGAAGGCCAGGTGAGATGGCTCACTCACGGCTGTAATCCCAGCACTTTGGGAGGCTGAGATGGGTGGATCACGAGGTCAGGAGTTCAAGACCAGCCTGGCCAAGATGGTAAAACCCCATCTCTACTAAAAATATAAAAATTAGCTGGGTGTGGTGGTGGGCACCTATAATCCCAGCTACTCAGGAGGCTAAGCCAGCGAATTGCTTGAACATGGGAAGTGGAGGTTGCAGTGAGCCAAGATTGTACCACTGCACTCCAGCCTGGGGGACAGTGCAATACTCAGTCTCAAAAAAAGAAAAAAACTAAAAAAGCCGAGCACAGTGGCTCACGCTTATTACAGGAGCCACTACAAGTCTCCCAGCATTTGAGAGGCCAAATTACAGGCCTCCTAACACTTTGGGAAGCCAAGGCAGGCAGATCACTTGAGGTCAGGAGCTTGAGACCAGCCTGGTCAATATGGTGAAACCCTATCTCTACTAAAACTACAAAAATGAGCCAGGCGTGGTGGCGGGTGCCTGTAATCCCAGCTACTCAGGAGGCTGAGGCAGAGAGAATTGCTTGAACCTGGGAGGCGGAGGTTGCAGTGAGCCTAGATCACGCCATTGTACTCCAGCCTGGGCAACAGAGCGAGACTCTGTCTCAAAACAAAACAAAACAACTAAGTTTGTAGTCAGACAGTGCACATCACACCCTGCCCCTTCTCAGCTATGGAGCATTGTTCTTCCCTTTGTCTCTCTGAGCCTCAGTTTCCTCATCTGCAAAACGAGAATAATTTTATACAGTGAGGTAACAGTAGTGAAACTGGCACAATGCCTAAGACATATCAGCCCTCAACAAACCACCTCAGGCCTTGATGTCCTCATCTTTACCTCCTGCCATAGCACCCAAATATGTGGGCCTTTGGTAAAGGTGGGCACTGTCCAGATATTTGCCCTTTGAGTGTCCAAGCTAATAGGGCCCGTGGGCGTCATATTAGCCGTACCAAGTACAAAGACTTGGCTCCTCCTCTGCTCTCCTCTCAGAGGCCAGCTCCTGGGGTATCTCGGGCTTACTGACACACTCAAACCCAGGACATGAACCCAGAGAGGCGCTGGGCGGCTGTCCGTTCTCTTGGCCTCAGGACTATGTCTCAAAAGCCCAGGAGGCAAGTGAAGGGGGATTTATCTTCAAGAGAGCCAGCCTCCACTCTGCCAGGTACCCTTCTCCCTGCCTGCCCCCTTGGCAGTCACCCTGTAGTACCTGGGCTGGAAGAAAGCTTAAGCCTACTCTCTTGCCATGGATCTCAAAGGAAAAGTCTAGGAGAGAAAGAACAACTGACAAGCAGTTCTGGAAAGTAGAAGGCTCAGGGAGAAGACCTGTTATCTTCTCAGCTAGAGAGGACTCTATGTCTCAGGTAGCCCCACAAGCCCCCAAAGGGTTAACAAGGCCCTAAAAATAACCTGCGCCCAGCAGGACCCACTGATCGGAACCCTCCAGCCATCTGTTCCCATTTTCTCCTGTTCACACTGGAACATCTGAAACCAGCCCCAGAGCCCCAGCCCGATCCCAAAAATAGCCCCAGCCTGCCCAAGGAACAGGCCCCAGGGGCTGGGCACAGGCGGCATGGCCAACCCAGCAGTGAGGCATGGCCCAGGCAGACCCTGAGCCCTCATCCTTCAGGCCCATGGAAGGGAGGTGTCCTCTCTGGATCCAGAGCGACATGGTAAGCAGGGCCAGGGGATCCGCCTACCCCTCTTGGTACCAAGCCAGAGAGGGCACCTGCTAGCCAAGTTCCAGGCCTCAGACCCAGGGGCCTTGGGATCCTAGGTACTTCCACCGCAACTTAGTACCCGGAAGATTTTACCCACCTGTCTGCATAGCTTCCCCACCTAATTGTGGGTACCTCATCCCTGCCGCCCACTCTTGGGCTCATTCAGAAGTTCCCAAGCCTCAGCCCCTCCACCATGTCATCCCAGGCTTCACTCAGCATTCTCCCTTGCCAGCACACAGGGATAAGGCAGAAAGGCAGAACTTTTCCTAGCACTGCCCACACTCTCCCTTGCAGCTCAGGGAAGGACTCTGGAGGGTGTCCCTTGCACGCTGTGGATGCTGATATAAACCCACTCCCCTTCTGGGCTCCAGGATGCCCCCTCCCGATCATCTGTGTCTGGCAGGTGCCAGGCAGGCCTTCCCCACATTATCCCAGGCCTGAGCACTGCCCCTCAGGGAAAGGCCCAGGCAGGACACAGGGAATCCGGGGGCCCAGGGCCCTGAGAGACTCCTAACAGCTGCCATCCAGGTCACAGCTTTACACTGACACTTTTCTCCCCAAGCCAGGTCCCTGACCCCTAGGCCAGGAAGGAGAGGAGGCGGCCATTTAAGCCATTTAAGGACGGAATGCCTTGTTTGCCTGGTGAGAGCTGAGCAGCAGGGGATGGGGCAGTGGGAGGAGTGCTGGAGCTGAACTGAGCAAACAGCCTCAGGGAGGGAGGGCTGGCCCTGAGAAGCCTGGAGATAGGCAGGGAGACGTGTCCTAAGCAACCTGGGCCTTCTCCAGGCCCCTGGCTATTTGGCAAACTTGCAATAAAGATGTCAGTGGGCACCAACGGTGGGGAAGTGGAGGCAGCAAACAGTGGGTCTGGAGGGGTATTAGAATCCAGGAATCTGGAGTGCTGGAAAACCTGTCTCTTCCCCACCCCCACACTCCCTCTTCTCACTATCAGTTCTTCCCTGCCAAAATCCCTGGGAGGGTCAAAAATTCCTGTGAAGAGCTCTGATTAATCAAGTGAGGACGATCACCAACATTTATTGAGCATTTACTTAGTAACTTCAGTATCCTAAATGCTCCATGTGCATCATCTAATTTAATCCTCAGAGCAGTATAGGAAGAAAGTATTCTTATTATCCCCTTTTCCACTGAAAAAAGGGAGGTGCCGAGAAGTGAAATCACTTGCCTAAGGCCCACAGTCTTAGAAGAAGCAGGATTTGAATTCAGACACCCTGGCATCTGGGTTCTGGGCCATTTCACAATACTCCAGATGCACCACGGTATCAGTCCTCTGAATGATGACGAAAGAAAGCGTGGGTGCCCAGGCCCCACCCTCTGGCTCCTCACACTCTCCCTCCATGCCTGATGTGCCCGGGGCCTGCCTGGGAAGATCAGAGAGAAAGCACTGCTCCTCACTCCCTCAGCCCAGGTCCCCGCCTGGCCTGGCCTGTGCAGCCTCCCCCAGCCCTGCCCAACTCCAGTCCGTTACCTCCTCACCCATCCTTGTCCCTGCCAGTCAGAAGAGGGCATAAGGCCAGTCACCGGGACAACAGTACAGAGCCCCTGCCAAGAGCTACCACAGGCTCATGAGAGCCCCAGGTGGGGGGTCAAAGGTCAAGTGGGGCTCACCAGTGAGGGTGGAGTCCCAGTCCTGCCCCCACCCACCTGCTCAGCCACACCTGTCCAATGCTCCCCATCTCTTTCATTTCTCAGTAGAAAGCAGGACCACTTCCTCGGTGTCCCTGGGGGGGTGGCTTCAATGGGGAGGGTGGTGGCTGAGGTGAGGGGATGAGAAGCCCCTCCCTCCTGGGGACGTCTAGGAGAAGCGCCTGCTCCCAGGCTCCAGCTTCCTCTAGCTTTCCCTAGTCGGACTGGGAGCCCTCAGGAGTGTTTGTTGTGAATTCAGGGAGTTGTTGCTAAGTAAGGAAGGGGGGCTGGCGGAGGGAAAGAGGCTGGCCTCGTGTGTGTGTGTGTGTGTGTGTGTGTGTGTGTGTGTGTGTGTGTACCCACGAATGTGTACGCTAGGGGACCAGGGGACCAGGGCAGAAACCACACTACCATGGCTGGTAGCCACCCTGGCTTGGACTGAGCCCGAGGAGACCAAGCCAGCCAGGAGGAGCAAAGACTTGGGATAACCAGGAAATCGTACCTTGCCCTCCAGGGCGATTGGGTGGAATCTCCTCGCCTCCCGCAGGGTGGGGCGGGTCGGGGTGAGATCTGCTGAGATAGAGAAGGGCTGGACTCTCACTGGAGCTGGGCTCTAACCCCTCCCGCCCCAGCCCCACTCCCCACCTGGTTGGGTTTAGGGTTCTAGGTCAGGCTGTTTGCCCACCAGGAGCCAGAGGAGACCTCCCTCTTCTGGAGGGAGGGGAATGAAAGGAGAGGTGGGGGCAGAAAGCCAAGAGGAGGGAGCCCAGAAGACAAAAAGCCAAGCAGGAGGCCACACCAGGATGATGCTGCAGCGGACGGAGATCAGGGAGACTGAGGGACACACAGGGGCACACAGACCTCTCACCTCAGAGATAATGTCGGGCTCAGGCTCAAGGGTGTGGTCTGGGATGGGGGCTCCCTGTGGAGAGAGGGTCAAAGCTAGAAGCCCCCTCCAGCAATCTATGCCCTGCTCCTCCCATCACCCCAGCACCCCCCAACAAACACACCACATAAACATGTACACACCGTCCACACAGCCTGCAGCTCCAGGAAGTCTCTGAGCTACTCATTTGCCACCCCGCCAGGACTTCTGTGGATTGGCTGGGAGCCAGGCCTGACCCAGCTACACCCCCCCAATGCCGTCCCCTCCCTAGCCTGCAAGCAGGAGAGGAGAAGGCACTAGAAGACCTTAGAGCTCCCTTAGAGCTTGGCCCCATGGGGAGAGGCAGAGGACTCCCACGACCTGACAGGAGGACCTGGGGGAGGGGAGGGAGGGGGAGGCTGGAGGACCCCAGATTCTAACGACAGCCACCTCCAGGTTATCCTGTGTCAGGGAACAGAATGGCTGTGTATTCTATGTCCTTGTGTGGTCTCCTTGGCTATAGTCCTGGTCCCCTGAAGATGCCAAGTCCTGAGGACCTGGTCTGGTTGGGAGGCCCTGGGGTGAGGGAATTGGTTTAGCAGTTCAGTAGGAGGGGGCTGGGCGAAGCTCCCACAGCAGGCGGGAGGGAGGCTGGTGGCTGGGCTCAGTTTGTACTGGGGGGTCAAAGGGGAGTTCTTTTCCAAAGAATTCTGGGAGAGACGCCAACTAGAGCAAGCTGCTAACCCCCCCTCCCTCTCTCTCACTGCACTGGGCGGGGGGGTGTCCCTGCCAACCAGACTTAACCCTCTCCAGCCTGTGTTCCTCCCAGACCTGAGACGGGGGCTGCTGGGGAGGAGGCCTCTGGCTGGGCTCAGCTTTCCACTCTGAGGCTCATGCAGCACCCGGCATCCATCAGCACAAGGCTGGTTCCACATGGCCCCATCTGGCACTGCCCTGCCCTTCCGCCACCTAGATGACTTTTCTGGGCTCATCTCCTAAAGGTGTCTGCAGTGACGTGTGTGCATGTCTCAGAGACAGAGATTGAGAAACAAACTAAAAATTCCTTGCCAAGGCCCTCCCCCTGCTGGGTCACTGAGCACTGTACCAACCTGTACCCCTCCCTTCCTCCCACTGTGCTCTGGGACCAGAGGCCACTGGGGGTGGGGATGTAAAAGGGACAGCTTATCCTTATGTCCACCTCCTGCTACTGTCTCCACAGGTCTCTGACTCACACAAACAGCCCCTGCCCCAGAACTCTGCTTCCTCACTGATTTGTCACAAGATTTGTGCTTCTGGAGGAAAGCATTCCATTCTAGCC